TGGGAAGGGAGTCTGTGAAATTGTTGACAGCATAAAAATTAGAAAGGTACATACCACTCTTTTTTTCCTCATCATTTTTTATAGAGTTCAGTCCAATGCTGTCAAAAATAATATTAAAAAAAAAGTTACAATTCTCTTTACTATTTTGAAGCCTAAAATTGATAACAAAGAAGAGATGGTTTAAATGCATTTTTCCCCCATATAAAAATTATATTCTCTTTAATTAAGTACTTTGTCCTCATTCTTCTCTTAGCTTCTCATGATGAAGTTTCATTACTTTTGCTGTGCCTTTACTACCAGCAATTTAAAAGATAAAATCTTGCTACTTCTAGCATTTTTTAATGTGAAGTGGTTTTCAACATGAAAATCAGAAGCATAAATACTAAACTTGGGACCAGTGGAGCTGCAGTTATAATTCAGCACCTACCGATACGTTTTCTAGGAAGAATCAAAACTTTCCCTTGATTTTAGATATAAACGGGTAAAAGGAGAAGCCTACATGTTGGGGTTTTTTTTAAAAAAAAAACAAAACAAAAAACCAAAACCAAACAAATGTAGCTTGTAATTTTATTTTTTTTTAGAGTTGTCAATTAATTCTGTATGCATTTGTCAATCATTTGAATTAAGTTAAGCAGAAGCCTTTACTTTGGATGCTCCCTCTCAAAGAGCATTTCATAGAGCAGGCAGACTTTTCTGTGGAGAGTCTGAAGATATCACTAAATACTTGATGAAAAACAACCTGTTTCCTCTGCTGCTGTACAGTTCACTGCATGGTTACAGGAGGTTTATTCAAGAAAAGGGTCAGGGATGGTGGCTTCTGGTGATGCCACAGAGCTTGCTGTGGAAGTTTTATCTTTGCTGTGCCGAGTGGGAGGAATGGAGGTGAAAAAATAAAGGACAAGGAACTTCAGAAGGTGACTGGAATGCCGCTGGAAGACAAAGCTGATGGCAAGGCCAGTTGTGTTGGTGGGCAGACCGAACCTCACTTGCCAGAATTGGAAGTGTCTGGGATGTTTAAAAACCTACCTTTCTGCAGGGTGGGTCTGGAAAAGACTGAAAATGGGATTAACAGTCTGAAAAGTTATCTCTGTACCCTACAGTGGGAACAATGACAGCTGAACTGTGTTTGACAGGTGTTTGTTTAATTTGTCCTTAAAAATCTGCAGTGATGGATATTCTACAGCCTCCCCGGAGAGCCAGTTCCAGTGCTTAACCGTCATTTCCATTAAAGGCTGGGGTTTTTTTGTTTTTTCCCCTGGTGTCTGACAGTGTCTCCCATGGTGCAAATTAAGCTCATCTCTTCCTACAACACAGATGGATGGATGTGTTTTATCACAGCGGTTTGGGCACAATTTACATACACATTTTAGAGTCAGCCTGGGGAGCCAAGAAAAATCCTTTGAAGTGTATGTGTGTGTATATATATGCTTAATACAGAGGAAAGTTTTTGGTACTCAGTGATTAGGTACAGTTGCTCTCCGTGGTTTAAAACGTGGATAGTAACTCTGGTGTAGCTCTGGTTCACTAGACATCTTACAGAGGAGTTAGTGGTGGATAACCAAAAACCATAACACCACTTTACCAAGCTGTTAATATTCCTCATATTTTTTAAAAAAAGTTCTGATGAAATTGCACGTCCCAAACCAGAGGTTAGATTTTCTCTGAACAGCATTTCCTGATGTTTGTCAGGAAAATTTTTGACTAGCTTGTCTAGAGGTTGAGTGAGGTCCTGTCCCATATAAATAGTTTATTTTAGCAAATCCTGCACTCCTGGAGAACTAATTGCTGTACTCACTGCCTCTATTCACAATTTGCATATGAAGAAGTAGGATTAGCTTGGGTTTTCCAATGTAACAGTAACTACTTAAGCAAAGGTATTTTAATGAAGACAATACCTTTTAGACAAAGCATAGTGAG